TGGTGTCACCCAGGCCAAAGAACCTTTGTCTCATTCTCTCCAGGAAATAAACCTCCAACCTTCTGGAAGCAGTCAGTCACATGGAATGAAGAGTGTGTGTGTGTGTGTGTGTGTGTGTGTGTTGGGGGGGGGTTGGGTTCCTAAGCGTTTCTTCTCCTTCTTTTATGTCAAAGGGTATGGGTAAGTGTATGAAAGAGAGAGACAGAAAGCAGTAATCCTTTTTCTCCAATTTTCCACCCATCGGGCCTGTGGTCATGCACACACTCACACACACACGTATCTTTCTTTTTTTTTTAAGACAGATTTTTGCTATAGGGCACATGCACCTGCCAGTGAAAGACAGAGAGAGACAGAGAGACAGAAAGTGAGAAATCACCCCCCAGGGGGGATCTTGGGCATGCACACACATACACCTGCGTGTTTCAAGCCACCGGGTCTGAGATTCGAACTGCAGTCGGCTATGTGGGAGTCCAGCGATGTAACCATTACACCATCTTCTGGTCCCATCAGCATGTTTTTTCCAGCCGTCAGCCCGAGGACTTGAACCCTGGTCAGCTGTGTGGGAACCAGTTTCCTCCCAGCAGCACCTAAGCCCTGCTCTACGGGGACCGGCTTGGTAACTGGTTCATGTACAGGCGTTCTGCCAACCCTGCCTTCCTCACGCAGTACCGACTGTGGGACTTGATACACAAATGCAGACTTCTGAGCCTTGGGGGATTCGCCTGATATTAATCCACCAGCTGCCTGAGATTTCCCCAGGCGAGGATTTAGCACTATCTGGACTGCTAACTCGGTTATTATGCCCGCCTTCTGGCTTCCAAACTACTCTCTCCTTCCCCATTGTGTCCTGTGTTTTCGGCGCTAATATATATATAAAAAAATACTATTCCACTGGAGACAAAGTTAAAAAAAAATAGCAACACTGCTGTGTGGTATGGTGGTTAAGGTGCTAGAATGCCACAAGGCTGACCACAGTTTGAGTCCTGGACCTGCTGGCTTGAAAATCCTGCCGGATGGGGACACGCAGTTAGCATAATGGCTAATAATGGCTATGTCGCTGAACTCCCATGTAGTCGATCATGGTTTGAGTCCCGGACCCAGTGGCTTAAATTCACGCCGGGCACGTGTGCGTGTGTGCCCAAGATCCCGAGAGGAGAAGGGATTGCGGCGTGGCCATCCCCCCCGGGGGGGTGATTTCTCACTTTCTGTCTGTCTCTCTCTTTCTTTCTGGCGAGCGCACGCACCTGCACCCTATAGCAAAAGCCTCTCCCCCCGCAAAAAAAAGAAAAAGAAAATCATGCCAGATGCATATGCCCAAAACCCAAAGAGGAGAAGGGAGGAGAAGGGATTGTGGCTTGAATATTCCCCCTGGAAGGTGATTTCTCTCCTTCCCTCTTACTGTCTCTCTCTGGTGAACACTTGTGGCCAATTGCAAAAAAACTACTATAAAAATATATATATTCAAATGCAATGTGCTAATTCCTGTGGTACAGACCAGAGCCAGCTCAAGGGGAAAGAAAACCAAGGAAAATCTAATAGTTCAGGGCAGATGGGCAAGGCTTCAAAGATCTAGCACCAAAGACATGGCCCGACGAAAGCGGACGTCCGGGGAAAAGGCTGTCCAGCTTAAGAAAATGGGGAGACCCAGAGGTGAGGCTGGAGAAGCAGGTGGGGCCGCTTACACAAGGCCCTGCAGAACCTGTTCCCGTCTACGCTTGATTGTTCAACCTGTGTTTGTCAATTTCCCCATCCTGGCCAGCCGGGCGTGACACGGCTCATTCTGATGAGCCCAAAGTCACTCGTTACTAAGAATAGCCCAAACATGGCTACTCCACATTTTAAAAATAAATGAGAAGACACTCCCGAATTAGGCTGAGCAAAAGATGCCAGAAACAAAAGAATACATATTCTATTAGTCTATGGGTCTATGTACATAAAAGACAAAAACCAGGGGCCCGTAGGTGGCGTGGTGGTTAAGGCTCTGGACTCCCACATGGCTGACTGTGGTCTGAGTCCCGGACCCAGCGGCTTGAAAATCATGCCGGCTATGTGTGCTCACGTGAGTGCTCAAAATCCCAGGAGAAGGGAGAAGGGATGGTGGTGTGGTCATCCCCCCAGGGCGGTGATTTCTTGCTGCTTCTCTGGCGAACATATGCACTCTATTGCTAAAATCACTCCTCACAGGGCATGGCTACATCTTTTTTTTTTTTTTTTGGAGAGATTTTTTGCTATAGGACGCATGCACTTGCCAGAGAGAGACAGAGAGACAGAAAGTGAGAAATCACCCCCAGGGGGATGGCCACGCTGCAATCCCTTCACCTCCATTCTCCTCTTGGGATCTTGGGCACGCACGCACACGCGCCTGGCGTGAGTTTAAGCCACCGCGTCTGGGACTTGAACCGCGATCGACTACGTGGGAGTCCAGCGACATAGCCATTATGCTAACTGCTGGTTCCGGCATGGCTACATCTTAATCCCTTCTCCTCCATCTCTCGGGATGTCAAGCATGCACACACTCACACCTGCTATTTCTCAGGCCAGTGAACTTGAACTGCAGTCAGCCATGTGTGATCCAGCTTCTTAAGCCCCACGCCATCTGGCTCAAAACTTACACAATTTTATGGGAGAAAGGGTGGGGTTACACAAGCTTAGATAAATGTTGTGTGTTCTATGTCCTTTTTTTTGGGTGGGAGGTTTTTGCTATAGGGCGCGTGCCCTTGCAGAAAGAGAGAGACCGAGAGACAGAAAGTGAGAAATCACTCCCCGGGGGGATGACCATGCCACAATCTCTCCTCCATTCTCTGGGGATCTTGGGCACGCACGCACATGCTCCCAGCGTGAGTTTAAGCCACTGGGTCTAGGACTTGAACTACGGTCAACTACACGGAAGTTCAGTGATGTAGCCATTATGCCATCTGCTGGTCCCTCTATGTCCTTTTAAAGCCTAACTCTAAGAACAGCTGTTGAATGCTCAAAAACGCCAAGAATACACAGCCAGGGGTCACCATCAGCTGCAGAGCCCAGAGGCCTTTTTTTTTTTTTTCTTTTTGGAGAGGTTTTTGCTTATAGGGCACGTGCGCTCGCCAGACAGAGAGATAGAAAGTGAGAAATCACCCCCCAGGGGGGATGGCCACGCCGCAATCCCTTCTCCTCCATTCTCCTCTTGGGATCTTGGGCATGCATGCACACGCACCCCGCCTAAGTTTAAAGCCACCAGGTATGGGACTCGAACTGTGGTCGGCTACATGGGAGTCCAATGACATAGCCATTACGCTAACTGCTGGTCCCGAACCCAGACAGTCTTCATGCTGTGATCCACTCCTAGCCCCAGCCAGGATCATGGGCACCTGAGTACACAGGGAGATCCTGGAATGCAACAAGTTCCTGGGGCCTTCTCACATGGCCACAGCACTGCGGGGCTGTTGCCTCACTCCTGTGCCCCCTTAAGATTCATTCAGTGGCCAGCAGGTGGTGTGGCCGACCGCAGTTACAGCAGGTGGCATGGCGGACCGCAGTTCGAGTCCCAGACCTAGTGGCTTGCTTTCTCACTTTCCCTCTCTGCCTCTGGTGAGCATGTTTCCTATGGCAAACTTAGAAAATAATAATAATAAATAATAACTAATAAAATGAATTTTTTCTTTTTAAAGGGAGAAACTAGGCCAGCAGGTGGCATGGAGGTTAAGGCAATGGATCCCACGTGGGCTGACTGCACAGTTCAAGTCCTGGACTCGGCGGCTTGAAAATTACTCTGGGTGTGTGTGGGCATGCAACTCTAAAATTGGAAAACAATGGAAGAGAAGGGACTGTTGTGTGGTTATTTGTCCTAAGGGTGTGATTTCTCACTTTCTCTCTTTTTCTCGCTGATGAGTGCACTTGCCCTTTAGTAAAAATGAAAAAAAAAAAAGAGGGAAATCAGACAAACACATAAGAGAGGCCAAATGCCACATAAAGGCTGAGAGTGGAATGATACAGTGACGTCACAAGGAATACCAACGATTGCTGGCAATACCAGAAGCGATGAAGAGGCACGGAAGGTCTTTTAAAGTCTCTTGAGAGAGGGACCAGCATTGGTGTAATGGCTTTGTTGCTGGACTTCCACGTAGTTGACCGTGGTTCAAGTCCTGGACCCAGTAGCTTAAACTCACGCTAGGCACGTGTGCGTGCATGCCCAAGATCCCAAGAGGAGAATGGAGGAGAAGGGATTGCGGCGTGGCCATCCCCCAGGGGGTTGATTTCTCACTTTCTGTTTGTTTCTTTCTGGCGAGTGCATGCGCCCTATAGCAAAAACAAAACAAGAGTCCTGAGAGAAATCCATGCCCTGCCTTCACCTTGATTTCGGACTTCTAGTCTCCAGAACCGTGGGAGAATAAGCTTCAGTTGCTGTAGGATGCCAAGCGTGTGATCATTCATCATGGCAGTGCTAGGAAACTAACACAGTAACCATCCCCGATTCTTTGTCAGTTTACACCATTGTAAATTTCCAGCTGTGTGCAACTCTACCAAGCCACTTTCATTTAAGGAATAGTTTCCAGTTGCTAGGCTTCTTTTAATAACATAAGCGATAAACCTCTTTTATTTTAAAATTTTATTTATTAGTACTTTTTAATTTGACCAGAGAGAGATTGAGAGAAAGGGAAGATGAGAAAGCAAGCTGTCCAGTCTGGGACGCCAACCACGGTTGGCCATGTGGGAGTCCCTAGCCCTAACCACCATGCCACCTGGGGGCTGACACCCAAAAGAAAAATCCTGACTTAGAAAAATCCTATTGTGGGCCCAGCAGGTGGTGTGATAGCTAAGGTGGCTGGATCCTACATGGCTTACTATATGGTTTAAGTCCCGGACCTGGTGGCCTGAAAAACACACTGGGTACATGCATGTGCGTGCCCAAAATCCCAAGAGGAGAATGGAGGAGAAGGGATTGTGGCGTGGACATCCCCTCTGGGTGGTGGTCTCTTGCTTTCTGTCTCTCTGTCTCTCTCTTTCTGGCGAGCAAAAACCTTAAAAAAAAATAAAAAGTCCCTGGGCTGTGATTTAAAAATTTTTTTTTTAATATACTATTATCTCATGGAGGGACAACTTATATGAAGGTGAAACAACTGCTGGAAATACAATGCCACTGTTTTACAAAGGCCTCATCCTAGGATTATAAATCATTTCTACACGTTTTAACAACTTCAAAAGTGCGGCTGGGTTATACGGGAACAGGTTTTTCTTCTGCAAACGATCAAGGGCACCTTGCAGCTCTTGAAGACACTTGAGTGTCCTGGACAACACGCCGCCCTCAGAGATCAAATTATTTGGGGCGACTTCCCAATCGACGGAGAAGGATGTGTTGGAATCTTCTGGAACTCTAGGTCCTGACTGAGGCTCTTGGCAAAGTTCTTTTTCATCCTTACTTGTTCTGGTTGTGCTCGGAAGCTTTTGCATCGCTTCCTGGTGTAACGACGCTTGTCTGCTGTCTGCTGGACGCTCATCTGGGAGTTCCGCTTCAGAATCGCTCGAGCTGTCATAATCTACCAGGCCCCGAGAAGATCGGGGGGCAGACAGTCCACGAGGCTGTGCGGCGTGGGTTCCCTTGGACGTGGTGACCTGGTCCAGTGGTTCCAAAGACGCCTGAGAAGGCCAGGCCCGAGCCCGAGCATCTGTGTGATTGTCCAGACCTGTCAAATGAGGCGGTGGTGTCCGGCTAGAGCTTCTCTCTTGGCCAAGGGGCGTGACACGCCCACGGATATTCCTGCCACATTTAGATGAGGTGGCATCAAAGTCCCTGCAGGTGATGAAGAAATGATGCCAGTCTCTCTGGAGTAATTTTAAATATTTCACAAAATATTCCAGGAAACAGGTTTCTGATGAAATGAGAAAGTCAAGAAGAACAGAAGCATCGAAGCTAAGATTTTTTACAAAGAATAAGAAAATACAGTGAGGGCTATAGCCGTGTTCGTGCGTGTGATGGTTCCACGTTTCTTTTCCTTGGGGCGGATTTTCGGCAGCTTCACAGTCTCTGAAAATGAAAACAAAGAATTCAGATGAATGCTTTTTTTTTTTTTTTCTTTTTTTCCTATTTAGGTTTTTATCATAGGGAGCATGCACTTGCAGGAAAGACAGAGAAAGGGAGAGTGAGGACACCCCCCAGGGGGGATGGCCACGCCGTAATCCCTTCTCCTTTCTCCTCTTGGGATTTTCGGCATGCACACGCATGTACCTGGCGCGAGTTTCAAGCGGCCACGTCTGGGACTGGAATCATAGTCGATTGTATGGGAGTCCAGCACTGTATCCACTAGACCACCTGCTGGTCCCCCTTTTTTTTTCCTTTTAAAATTTGCCAGATGGCATGTATGTTTGCTGGAGACAGAGAAGGAAAGCAGAAAGCATGCCCCATGCCCCTGGGGGTATGGTCACACTGCAATCCTTTCTCCTCTCTCTTTCTTTCCTTATGGCATTTTGGGCACGCACACAAAAGCGCATGGTGTGTTTTCCTAGCTGCCATGTCTGGGACTCAAACTATGCAATCAGCCAGGTGGGATCCAGCTGCCTTAACCACCAGGCCCATGGGCTAGTCCCAGGTTGATGACTTTTTACAAAAGTGTTTTTGTTTTTGGAGGTTTTTGTTATAGGGCATGTGCGCTCATCAGAAAGACAGAGAGAGACAGAGAGACAGAAAGCGAGAAATCACCCCCCAGGGGGGATGGCCACGCTGCAATCCCTTCTCCTCCATTCTCCTCTCGGAATCTTGGGCACGCACGCATACGCACCCAGCGTGAGTTTTAAGCCAACGGGTCCGGGACATGAACCATGGTCGACTACATGGGAAGTCCAGCGACATAACCATTACGCTAACTGCTGGTCCCTACAAAAGTTTTAATATACTTCACATGCCACAAATTCACCCATTAGTCTACCTTTTAATCGATATATTACCTTAAGAGATAAACAACTTCAAAACCAACCTCCTTCGCCACGAACTCCACATAAATCTGACTCCATAAAACAAGTCCCCTCCCTTTGGCAGCTCTGGTCTTTGTCTGCAGAACAGAAGTCCCTTGTGGTCCTCTCTCCTGACATCAGAAGGCCTCACTCAGCCAGGTGACCAAGTTCACGTGGCCAGGCAGGGCTGGAGCTACACCTCTGTCCTCACCCTCCTCAATGGGTGGGCCCACGACCACAGTGGCCAATCAGAGTATCCCAGGCTCCCGGCCTGGCTCTGTCAATAACCTGCGACCCAGGAGGGCTAATCAGACCCCCACCCCCAGACTTCTGTTGGAGCTCTGAAAGATTCTTTTTATTTTATCTTTTTTGAGAGATTTTTTGCCTTAGCTCGCCAAAGAGAGAGACATACAGTGAGAGAGAAAGTGAGAAATCACCCCCGGGGGGGGGGGATGGCCATGCCACAATCCCTTCTCCTCATTCTCCTCCCGAGATCTTGGGGGTGCGCGCACACACTCACTCACACACACACACACACACACATACACACACACACGCCGGGTGTAATTTTGAAGCCACCAGGTCCGGGACTTGAACCACATTTGGTCCCTGTGGGAGTCCAGCAATGTAACTACTATGCCATCTGCTGGTCCCAAAAGATTATTAACTATAAGGCTGCTGGTGCCATGTCTGAGTGAATTCAGAGTCATGAGATAAAGAAAAAGTGAAATCACCGAAGACAGGATTTGAATTCCAATACGTAAGAATTATAGCTGATGTCTGCTTGCTCCTTTAGAAGTCCCAATTCCGAACCAGTAATTTATCTTCTCTTAAACTAGTTTGAGTTAGTTTCTATCATTTACAGTCAAAAATTCTTAACTAATACAAATACACACACACACACATACACATACATATACACACACATACACACATACATATGGACGCCCATACACATATACACATGCACATACACACATATACATGCACATACATACATATATACACACACATATCCACACACGCACACACACACACATATAAATACAGGGGGCAGATGGTGGCCTAGCAGTTAAACATGATGCTATGCCAGGCAGGCAATCCTATGAGAGAGTTCCTGGTTCAAGTCCAGAGACCTGAGTTTGATGAGTACACGTGTGTGCATAAATAAACTTAAAAGAAATATGTATGTCATGAGTACATGCCTCTCTAGACATACTGAAGTTGAGAAAGTGAGAAATTTATATGTAAGGTAAGATAAATTCAGAAGCTATTGGGGCCAGCCGGTGGAGTGGTGGTTGAGGTGCTGGATTTCCATATGGCCGACCATGGTGTGAGTCCCAGACCTGGAGACTTGCTTTCTCACTTTCTCTCTCTCTTTCTGTCTCTGGTGAATGCATGTATCCTATAGCAAATTTAAAATAATAATAATAATAATGAATAAAATTGAATAATTCTTTAAAAAAAAATTCAAAAGCTTTCTCTTTCCTGAAGAGTAAGAAGCCAACTCTGAGTAAAATCAAGAAATACTCTTTTTTTTTTTTTGGAGAGGTTTTTGCTATAGGGCGCGTGTGCTCACCAGAAAGACAGAGAGAGACAGAGAGACAGAAAGCAAGAAATCACCCCCCAGGGGGAATGGCCATGCCACAATCCCTTCTCCTCCATTCTCCTCTTGGGATCTTGGGCACACACGCACACGCGCCCGGGATGAGTTTAAGCCACTGGATCTGGGACTCGAACCGCGGTCGACTACGTGGGAGTCCAGCGACATAGCCATTACGCTAACTGCTGGTCCCAAGATATACTCTCACAGGGTCAGCAGGTGGCATGGAGATTATGGAGCTAGGTCCCACGTGGCTGACTACGCAGTTGGAATCCCAGACCCAGTGACTTGAAACACTACAGCTGGCGCATGTATGTGCGTGTCCAAAATCCCAAGAGGAGACTGGAGAAAGGACTGCAGCGTGGCCATCCCCCCAGGTGGTGATGTCTCATCCCCCCGCCCTCTCTGGCAAGTACATGCACCGTATAGCAAAACATACCAAAAAAAATAAAAAAGTTACACTCTTACAGGCATGAACACTTTCAGACCGAATTTGTATTTGGCCACTTGATGAACCTAACTCAAATCACATGCAGGAATGTTATGTTGTTGATTAGGACCTTTTGGAAGTCAGCCCCAAATGCTTACGGTCCTGAAAGCAGCCAAGTGCCAGAATACAAGGGAGCCCTGGCAGCAAGATACTATCCCGCCGGTCATTAGGGAGAACTCCCTTCCTCCCAGGCCAAGAAAGAAGTGGAAACAGAGCGAGGACGTCAGGGATTCGAGGAAGCAGAAGCAGAAACGGGGTGAGGGTCATCCGTTACGAACTTCATAACCAATTACAGATATTTGCCACAAGGACATGTTATCCCAAGTATAACTGCTGCGATAAAGCAGAAGTAGAATTGATATAAAATGTCATTAGTACGGTGAATATGTTTATGTCTTCAATTTGCTTATTATGCTCTGTAGACATACTTGTTTTTTTTTAAAGAAGGTTTTTGCCATAAGGCACACACGCTTGCCAGAGAGAGAGACAGAGACAGTGAGAGAGAAAGCAAGAAATCACCTCCCCCTGCCAGGGTGGAAGACCATGATATAATCCCTTCTCCCCCCTGTTCCTCCTGGGATTCTGGGCATGCATGCCCCAAATCCTGAGAAGAGCAGGGAGGAGAATGGATTTCAGCATGGCCATCCCTCTGGGGGGATGATTTCTTTTTTTTTTTTAGAGAGGTTTTTGCTATAGGGCGTGTATGCTCGCCAGACAGACAGACAGAGACAGACAGAAAGCGAGAAATCACCCCCCAGGGGGGATGGCCACGCCGCAATCCCTTCTCCTCCATTCTCTTCTCGGGATCTTTGGCACGCATGCACACGCGCCTGGTGTGTGTTTTAAGCCACCAGGTCCGGGACGCGAACCACGGTCGACTACATGGGAGTCCAGTGACATAGCCATTATGCTAACTGCTGGTCCCTGGGGGGATGATTTCTAACTGTCCTTTTCTCTCTGTCTTGCACAGCAAAGGCATGTGCCTGATGGCTACATAAATAAATACGTAAATAAATTTAAAAAGGCCCTGGGTCCCACATGGCCGACTCCATAGTTTGGGTCTAACACCCCGCTGCTTGAAAAACACACCGGGCGCGTATGTGTGCGTGCCCGAAATCCAGAGAGGAGGAGAAAGGACTGCAGTGTGGCCATCATCCCTGAGGGGTGATTTGTCACTTTCCCTCTCTGCCTCTCTCTGGCAAGCACATGCGCCCTATAGCAAAAATAAGATAAGGTAAGATAAGATAAGATTAAGATAAGATAAAAACACTGACCGGGTCACCTTGAGGTAGATGTGCAAAGACGCTCTGGCGGCCTCCAGCATGTCGTCGTCCTGTTCTATGAAGACCCTGGAGAGCCATTCACACGGATGGTATTCTTGCAGAGGGGGCTGAAGGTGAGGCTTTAAGAAGGTCAGTAACTCAGACATGAACCTCTGTAAATCAACTTCAAAACACGCACGTTTCAAAGTGCAGGCAACGGTTTAGGAACACGTCGGTAAGACATTCTCTGTACAGTCCTCCAGCACGTAACGGTGGGGGTAAGCTCTGGGTCATGTATCGTTAAGGGAGTCTGCTGGGATCAGTAAATGGTGCAATGGTTACAGCGCTGGACTCTCATATGACCGATGGTGGTTCGAGTCCTGGACCCGGCAGCTTAAAACTCACACCGGGCGCGTGTACGTGCGTGCCCAAGATCCCGAGAGGAGAATGGAGAAGGGATTGTGGCGTGGCCATCCCCACCCCGGGGGAAACATCACAAAGTGTATTTACCCAAACCTAGATGGTTTCCTGGTAAAGTGGAGAGAGTCAAAAAAAGACAGTGAGGGGGAAAGTGAGAAATCACCCCCTAGGGAGATTACCATGCCACAATCCCTTCTCCTCCATTCTCCCTTGGGATTTTGGGTGTGTACACACACATACACATACACACACATACACAAAAGCACACCTGATGTGATTTTCAAGCCCCTGGGTCCAGGCTTTGAACCACAGTTGACCATGTGTGAGTTCCGCACCTTAACCTGCCGGCCCAACTAGTATACTCTATTTTTATTTTTTTAACTTTTTGGAGAGGTTTTTGCTATAAGGCATGTGCCCTTCACAGAAAGACAGAGAGAGAGAGACAGAAAGCGAGAAGTCACCCCCACAGGGGGGGTGGCCGCGCTGCAATCCCTTCTCCTCCATTCTCCTCTCAGGATCTTGGGCACGCACGCACACATGCCCGGCAGGAGTTTAAGTCACCGGGTCCGAGACTTGAACCACGGTCAACTACATGCATGGGAGTCCAATAATGTAGCCATTACGCCAACTGCTGGTCTCATTCTTCTCATTCTTTTTTTTTAAATTACTTTTTTAGAGAGATTTTTGCTATAGGGTGTGTGCACTTGCCAGAGAGAGAGACAGAGACGGAGAGACAGAAAGCGAGAAAGCTCTCCCAGGGGAATGGCCACGCTGTGATCCCGTCTCCTCTAGTCCACTATAGGGATTTTGGGTATGCACACTCATGTGCCTGGTGTGAGTTTGAAGTCACCACGTCTGGGACTTGAACTACAGTTGACTATGCGAGAGTCCAGTGATGTAGTCATCATGCCACCTGCTGGTCCCTCTTTTTTAAAAAAATTCAATTTGTTATTATTATTATTTTTTTAATTTGACAAGAGAGAGAGAGAAAGGGAAAGTGAGAAAGCAACTTACCAGGTCCAGGACTCGAACCCTAAGTGGCCATGTGTGAGTCCAGCGCCTTTACTCACCACACCACACCACCTGCAGGCACCCCCACAACTCTTAGAGGACCAAAGCTGTGTGAGGGCCACTGCTGAGCAAAATGGCATCATGCAACACAAGCTTGTATATAAATTTAAGCGTGTCTAAAGCAATTCACAATGCATTATTAAAGTCACACTCTGGGGGCCGGCAGGTGGCGTGATGGTTAAAGGGGATGGGTTCCCACATGGCCAATCATGGTTCAAGTCCCAGACCTGGCAGCTTCCTTTCTCACTTTCTCTCTCTCTGTCCCACCCTGGTCAAACTGAAATAAATAAATGATTAAATAAAGTTAAATAAAACAATTCTTAAAAAAAAAAATTCATACTTTGAAAAAAGACCTGTTAGTGCTTATCCCTGTCTTACAAATAAGAAAACTGAGGCTCAGAGAGAAAAAGGAACTCACCCAAGAGCAAACATTGAAAATGTATGTCCAGGGGCCAACAGGTGGCATAGGGTTTAAGGCACTGGACTCCCATGTGGCCGATCGCAGTTTGAGTCCTGGAGCTGCTGGCTTGAAAATCTCGCTAGGTACTTGTGCGTGCTGCTCAAAATCCTAGGAGGAGAATGGGGGAGAAGGGACTGTGGTGCGGCCATCCCCCCGGGGGGTGATTTCTCGCTTTCTAGCGCTCCTCAGCGAGCGCATGCGCCCTATGGCAAAACCTATCAATCACTCAAACATATAGCCACAACCGTCACATAACTCTCCGAGAAATGAGAGCTATGTGGCTTCCTGTAAAAGCGTATCAATAAATAAAAAACAGAGACGACTTTACTGGGTGCCATAGCTGCCTATTACTAAAGACAAGAACACAATCAGACCAAAAAAGAAAAATTGCTTTCAAAATACCGGAAGAAAAACAGTTTGCTTAAAGCATTAAAAGAAAATACTATTATTGAGTCAGCAGGTGGTGTTGACATTAAGGGGGCTGGATCCCTCATGGCGGACTGCATGGTTCAAGTCCTGGACCTGGAGGCTGGAAAATGATGCCAGACGCGTGTGCGTGCCTAAAATCCCAAGAGGAGAATGGAGGAGAAGGGACTGTGGGGTGGCCATCCCCCCTGGGGGGTGATTTCTTACAATTTCTTACTTTCCCTCCCCGCGTGTGGATGCACCCTATAGCAAAACAACTAAAAAAAAGAGAAAGAGGAAAGAAGAATCCATCGCTAAGCACAAAACCCGGGATCAGCAGATGGTGTAATGGTTATACTGCTGGAGTCCCACATAGTCAACCACAGTTCGAGTTCCGGACCCGGTGGTTTAAACTCACACCAGGCACGTGTGCGTGCATGCCTAAAATCCCAAGAGGAGAATGGAGAAGGGACTGTGGTGTGGCCATACCCCCTTGGGGGTGATTTCTCACTCTCTGGCTCTGTCTCTCTGTGTCTCTGGTGACCGCATTTGCCCCATAGCAAAAATCTGTCTTAAACAAACAAACAAAAGAAAAAACAAAAAACTCCCCGGAAATCCAAAAAGGTTTTCAGGAGTTTTAACTGCAATGGAAGACTGAGTTAAATAACAGTGCCACCTAGTGTTGCAATGTATAACTGCACAGAACTGTAACTTGGAAAGTTATTAAAAGCTGAAGAATAACCAAAGCAATTCAGGGAAACCACTGCTTACAATTGGGACTTTTCAATGAATCTGTACGCTGCCTATTTAAAGATGTTTACTGTTTATTTCTTTTTTCTTTTTGTTTTGCAAAGGTTTTTGCTATAGGACGCATGCGCTCACCAGACAGACAGAGATACTTTCTAATGAGAAATCACCCTCCAGGGGGGATGGCCATGCCGCAATCCCTTCTCCTCCATTCTCCTCTCGGGATCTTGGGCACGCACGCACACGCGCCCGGCATGAGTTTTAAGCCACCAGGCCCAGGACTCAAACCACGGTCGACTACGTGGGAGTCCAGCGACATAACCACTATGCTAACTGCTGGTCCCAAAAGATGTTTACTATTTATTTCTCAAGTGAAGTGAGGACCTGTCTTCCTCAATACCAATAATCATTCTCTGCACAGCTTTTTTTGGAACTGCTGAGTGAATATCCTGAATATGCCACCACTGCATCACACACACCTCAATTCCATTTCTAACTGTAACCTGTCCACCGTAACACGCATACTACTGGAAGGTAATAGGAATAAAACACAAGTATTTGACTAGGAATTTCCTATCACTTACTTCAAAGCAACTTTTTCTTTAACCTAAGTCATTTCGTTTCCACCGCAAAAATTCACCTTCAGGACCAGCAGGTGGCTTGGTAGTTTAGTCACTAGATTCCCACATGACCAACTTTGGGGTTCGAATCCCAGACCTGGCAGCTTGCTTTCTCACTTTCTCTCTCTCTCTCTGGTGAGTACATGTGCCCTGCAGCAAATTAAAAAATACAAATAATATATAAATAAAATTCAATAAATTCTGTTTTTTTGAGAGAGAGAGAATTTTTACTCTAGGGCATGTATGCTTACTGGATAGACAGAGAGAGACAGGAAGCAAAAAATCACCCCCCCAAGGGGGATAGCCATGCTGCAAGCCCTTCTGCAATCTCCTCTAGGGATTTTGGATGTGCACACATGTGCGCCCAAGCCACCAGATCTGGTACTTGAACCATGGTCAGCTATCCGGGAGTTAAGCGACATAACCATTATGCCATCACTGGTCCCTCAATAAATTCTTAAAAAAGAAAAATTCAATTTAACCTCCAAAAAGTTGACCTTATTTCCTAAGAAAATTCCAGATCTCTCTCCTTTTCCTGGGGAAGAAAATGAATAAACTATGAACTAAGAAAATATATAGCTTATATTAGTAGAACTTTTCATGGTCCTGAGATTTGAACATTAGGAATAAATAACTTTAAGTCAAGAATTATACATTACTTGGCATTAAAAAAAAAAAAAGGAATTTGGAGAATTACCTTTCATTTCATTTGCTGAAGTACAATTTTGAAACTTGATTTCTAAGGATTTCATTATAACTAAGCTCGCGGCTCTAAGGATCACGTGGTCTGGACCCGAGACAAGTTCGTGTCCCGGCTGAACTTCACAGCCTCCAAAGTAGGAAGGTCTTTCATCGACAGACAGAGTCTTCAGCAACCCCAAATTCACAGCGTGCAAAACGGCATCCGCTAAAGTCAACGTGTCTGCGTCTAAGTGACGGTCAGGTGGCAGCGAGGCAGGCAGAGATCCCCGACAGAGGTCTTCACCCATTTTCCAGAGAAGGCACTTTTTGAGAAATATAATGAACTTCCTTTTCACAAAAGCCTGAACGGGCCAGGTGATAACATTGAGCAAGTAAGACGGTTTCAAAAATAGAATCCTCTGGCAGGTGAAATGTAACTTCAGGTGGATTCTAGAGGCTAGGAGAAGTTCGAGCAAATCCAGGGAACATATGAAGGTGTTTGTTATTTTAGAAGTCTCTTGGCAGTTTGCAAAATGCTGAGAAAATAAGGAGTTGTAAAATGCTTGCAAAGCAGAGTCAAAGGGAGTCAGGAACTGCTTTAGAATTTCTGCAAAGATAAAAACAGTCATTCACGATAGAAAAAAAAAAATCAGTTTCTTAAAACACAATTTTACAATTCCATTATTATACATTTCGTTGTACAAGATGAAAAAATAAGATCTGGAATGCTACCCCTAACTTAAATGACAACACAGAGATGAACAGCTAAAAACCACTGTTAAGGGACCAGCAGTTAGCGTAATGGCTATGTCGCTGGACTCCCATGTAGTCGACTGCGGTTCGAGTCCCAGATCCAGTGGCTTAAACTC